TGTCCCGGCCGGTGCCCGGCTGTGTCCCGGCCGGTGCTGCTCCTCACGTATCCCATTCCCCCCGTGTCTCCCCGGTGCTCAGGGCTGGTGGGGTTAGAGCGTTACGGGGGTACCTGGTGGAAATGAACTGCGCTGCATTGCAGCTTCGATCTCCAACTGCTGATCGTGGACTTAAGTCCTTGAATCCCTCTTTTATTGTGAATATGTGGCGGGCTGGATGCGTGCGGTGCGTTACAGCACCTGGATAGGCTTTCCAGCCTTACCTGAGTTTGGCTGTGCCAGTGCCTGGGGTTTTTCAGTGTGTATCAAACCTTCCTTACTTTCACATGGGGATGAAAAATGATGCATTGCCACGGAGGCTTTAAGAATCTCTTAAATATATAATGAGGTGAAACATTTTGGATGCTTCAAGCCGGCACGTGTGGGGTCTTCGTGGTGAAGCAGAGATTTTGAGATTCTGGCTCCCCCGCTGTTTGTTTGTTTTTGTGTGTGTCCGTCTTGCTGATAGTGCAATCAGGGCAGATTCCTCTGCTGGTCTGAAAAGAGCTGCTGAGATAAAGGTAACTGCAGGAGATCGGGGATCCTTGAAACTAGATTTGATCATCCACATTGGTTTGCTTTGGACTGAAGGCTCGGTGGGCAGATCTGAACTGATAAGACTGTGCTGCTTTGTAATAGGGGCACAGGGTTGGGGGGTTGCTGATTGTAGAGTAGGGAACTCCCATAGAGAGCATCTGTAGTAATTGCCAGCTACTCTGCTAAAACCAACCAGCCCAAATCCACTTTACTCTAACCTGGTGTCTTTATCCCTGCTATTAAGCACGTGAATCGGTCGTTTGGGAACTGGCCCAAACCAGTAGGGCAAACCTTTGGGGCAGACAGCATCTGGAAGTTGCACTGACCATGTTTGGTATGAAATGCAACTTGGTGTCCCTGGGGACTGGACTGGTCTGCAAGCATCGGATTTCTGCAAAGACAACAAATTTTGCACAGATGTGGTCTGTAAATCCTTATATAGAACTTCTACGGAGTATTTGTCTGTATCTTTTAAGCTACCTAAGATGGAGTGTGTGCTTGAGAAGTAACACTGGCCTACTATAAAGCCTTATCCAAACAAATTGTTTGGGTTACAGGCTGCCGGGGAGGAGATGAGGATGACACACGGTTTGGGAGAGTTCTGCTGGCACTCCTCCCATATTATTTTTTTTAATAGCACCGCCAAAACGTGCAGGGCTGCACAGCATGTGGCTCTTGGCTTTTCTGTGCGGGCAGGGTGAAGACAGGTAGCTGTTTCTTAACAAGACGGGGATTGTATTTCTTGTGCTTATGTAAGAGCGTGGATTTTGAGAGCGATTCGGTGCTTGAATATTTCCCCAAGCCTGTACAAACAGAAATGCCTTGGCTCCTTTCCCCTCGCGCGGCTTTCTGGTGTAAATGGGATTTCTCTCCGTGTGAAGCAATCCTGGGATGTGTAAGAGGGTGGGGAATATTACTGAAGTGCCGAAGTGTGACGTTTGTGCTCCGGCTGCGGGTGGGTGGGTTGTGTTACAACAGCCCCGCAGCTTTGTGTGAGAACATCCCCCTCTTCCCCATGGGGCAGGGGAGTCTGGAGCTGGTGCCTGATGTCACCAGGTGGTCCCCAGCCCTCTCTGGATGAGTGCCTTGGAAGGCAAAGGCTGTGTGGCAGGGTGCTCCCCTCTGCTGTGCAAGGATGGGGTTCCTGCAGAAGATGCTTTAGGAGGGATGGACAGAAAGCCCCCAGTGCAGCCAAGATGTGGGATCAGTGGAGTTGACAGGACTTGAGGTCTGCCTACTTGAGCAGAGTGGCATTGCTGAGCTCTCCCTGTGCTTTTAGCATCTAAAAGTGCCCCTGGCAGCACAGGAGGAAAGCAAGGAGGATTCAAGCCTGCTGCAGGCTTGGGCTCTGCTCAGTTTGGGCTGCAAAAGCGCTGAGTGCCCTGAGCTCAGCAGGGCTGTAGTGGTGCTAGTGGGCTGCAAGCTTACTGCAGTTGTTTTATCTTTGAACTATGCAGAAAAAGTCTCCATGCAGCACCACATCATGTTCGTGGGTCCCCAGCAGTACAGATGAGCACAAATCCAACCCAGAAGCTGCAGGCAGAGGATTGCTCTAGGGGGAAGGGGGAGGCTTCGTGCTGTTAGTGGGCTCTGTTTGCTGGTTTAAAGCAATCATGCTCGGAGGCCTCCTGATTGGCAAAGCTGGTGTCTTGTTGATGATAGCTGTGTTTGGAAAGTAGTGCAGCATTATTAATGTTAAAACCGGTTTGGCTTGTCCTACTGCCATTGATCCCCGAGGCCTGTTCTTTCTGCTCTTTGCCCAGTTTCTCATCTGTCCCTCCCAATCAAATCAAGACATTGCTATCTGCACGTTTTACTTTATTTTTTACCTGGACTTGGCAAGCTCACATGTAGAGCTAAACCCTGCTTTGCTTCAGCCTTCTTGAAGCACCGTGTTTATATAGAGTTTAAAGCAATGTTCCTTAGCCCTGAAGGGCAAGGAGCCCATGACTTCTGGTAGACAAATCTAGAGCTGTCTGTTGGGACGAGACGCCTGTAACACCTAGGAAGAAATAACCTCTCTAGCACCTTGTACCTTGTCAAACTGTGCATGCACAGTTCATGGGGTGGGAGTTCAGGGCTGCGTGGTCCCTCCGTGGCTCAGAGCCTTGTTCACAATAGATGTGGAGGTTCCCAGGGGTGGGAATAGTCACTCCTGCAGTGCTTGGGGCACGGTCAGGGAAACGGTGCTGCTGCCCAGTTCTCATCTGTCTCATGCTGCCAGCTCCCATGCTGGAGAGCACTCTCCTGTGGTTCGGAGTTTTCCGAAGAACAGCTTACGCAAGAGGCACATCGGGGCTGAACTTGGTACTTTCCAGACTCGAGATACCAGAGGTTCATTTGCTCTGGGAAGTTAAGGCTGTTGATAGCCAATGTGATTGCTGTCTTTCCTGCCTCTCCTATTGCTGTCTCCCAAGGCTTTGGCAATTCGAGGTCTTGCAAAGGCCGGTATCCAGTCCAGCAGCAGGGAAAATGTTTTTCCTATGTGTTTTTGCCTCTCCCTTCCCCTCCAAGCCTCTGTTAATGGCATTACTATTGCCTTGAGCTGCTTGAATGGTTGGGGTGGGGAGGCTGCTCTCAAATGCCTGAAATGGAGCCTCATGTGACCGTGCCATGGTTTTCCTGTAATGTCATACTGTCCCACTTCCACCACAAGCTGGAAGCTGCCAACTTGACTTTCCAGGTGACGATGCAGAGGAGGGATGCTGGCTGGCTGCTGAGCACGTGGACTTCAGCACAGCTCCTGCAGCTACTTTTCCCTTCCCTCTGACTCCTGGTGCTGGTAAATACTCTCTCAGACATATCCTGGCTGCTTGAATCCCCATGGCTATAAGTTACCACTAGGTTGTGTTATATTTTGTGTGTTGTTCTCTCTCAAATGAACAGATTGATGTTTTTAGAGTTAAAGACAAACTTTTTTTTAATTAGTGATACTAACTGTACCTGTAAGGGTGGCATAACTGTGGTTCCATGGTCTGCAATGTAAATTACTTGGGCTGACTTGTAAGATTACTTGATTAAGTTATCGTGGCTCTCTGATCCCACAGAACTAACTCCCCAGCTATGGCTTTGGCCAGACAAAAGGAGCATCCATCCTTCAAAACACTTCCTAGCTCTTGAGTTAACATTTATCCTCTTGAGCCTGCTCTTAGATCTTGCAGCTGCATTCTCCTCCTTCACTCGGTACACCCTGTTCCTTTATGCCCTGTAACAACAGCCGGGTTGTGCTGCTTTTGCAGCCTCAAACTAGAGGCTGATGCAGTTGAAACGCTACAAAACCGAGGGGACAAGCCTGACCTCCGGGCTGCTGTTGGGGAGCATGTGTGGCTGTTTGTTTGAGACTGGCTGGAATGCAAATGCTTGAGATTAAGGATTCAAATGATTTGCACTAGAATGAGACTCTTGTGATGAGACTGGGCTTGGTGGCTCTGAATAGACAGGGCAGCCTAGTTAAAGAGTTTAACATGTAATAAGCCACTGCTCTGAGGGACTGTAAAAGATCCTACATTAATGAGCTTCTAGGGCTGCACTTCTAGGTTAGTTCAGGCTTTTATTTTTTTGTCTTTAAACGTGTGCCTGAATGTTTGTCCAGTGAATGCTGCTGGTCAGAGGACCAGCTCTACCGTGTGTCGCCATCGGCCCTGACTTGCAGCAGTCATGCTCTGACTCAGGTTTCTGGCACTTGCCTGGCATCACAGCTCCCTTAGACACTGCTGTCACCCTCTGAGTAACAGCCTGGCCCCTTACCCAAAGCAGTGACTCAGACTTCCGAGGCTCTGCAGCGCGGAGGTGGATCTCTTCTTATGGGGTTAGGAAAGGGGTGACAGGCAGAACTAGGGCTTCTGCTTGGCACATGGTCTGTGCTGGCCAAGCGCCTTCTCTGCTGCCTCCTGTTTAATCTGGTTGTGGCTGTGGTGGGCAGAAAAGCTGTCGGGCTCTGACATGTGACTGCTGCCAGTAGCTGAGCTGGTGTTGGCAAAGGCAGATCAGAAAATGTCCCTGTCTTGAGCAGCCGTAACTTGCTCTGGCTGTTCGGTGGTTCCTTCATTTCCAGGCAGAAACAA